ATCAGCTTGGAGCGGTAAGCTGCCAGGGAGGTACCCCTGCTGTACGTTTCCCATTTGAGGTTGCTGGTCATGGTGGTTGGCAGGAGCTTGGATACATGCAGCCTGCTCACAGCTGCATTGTGGGTTGTTTGGGGGGAGGCGGGTTTGGGTGATTTCTGAAATTGGTCACCACTTCCACTGCTTGGTTCTTTGAATACCAAGACACCCTCAGTTCACCTCCCTCCTGTATGTGGACTCATCTCTGTCTGTGATGAGACCTACAAGGGTGGTGTCATCTGCAGACCAGGGCGGCTTTGTGGCTGGGTCAGTTACTTGTGTACAAGAGGTACAGTAATTCACGGGCAAGCGGGGAGTTATAGTGTGGGAGTTCATCAATTCAGATGATCAGATTCAGAGGCTTAGCTTAAATGAAATACAGGGTGAAGGCCCGTGTTCAGGGTATCGCCCACTGACCTGCTGATCTGGTGCACAAACTGCTGAGGATCAGAATGTGATCCGTAACAGCTGTCGGGTCAGAGCGAATCAGCCGTTCACAGGCTTTCATGACAGCTGTCAGGCCGATGGGTCTTGAGTCACTGAATTTGTGATGCTGATTGTAGGTAACATGCCTTCATATCCAAGTCCTATTTCACATTTGCTGCCTCGAACTAAGCTGAAATTGGATTCTGTACCTAAATCCCTTTTCAGACACTATCCTGACTGGCTTCTCTGATTTAGGGGTGGGCAAATAATCAAATTTTAATTTCAATTACGATTTTGGCTTCCAACGATAATTTAAATGAAATAATTGAGATTATTGTGCCGCCTCTTGTTTTGCAATGATGCTCCCATTTTGTCTTGTCTTATAAACCCAGCGCACCCTTTCCCATCCCTTTTCATTTGTTTTTCAGTTGAATTAAATTTAGCGTCCAGGGAAGTCCACTGTTAAGTTTTTTTTTTAAATTTCCAAAGTCAATAATAATTGTGTTACATAATCGTGATCTCAAGTTTGATCAATATAATGGTAATCAAGATTTTTGCCAGTATATAGCAACCCTGCTGTGATGTTTCAGGTTACCGTGTGGTGCCACCATTCAGGCTAACAGGAAGACACTGCGACCTGCTGGTGACGAGCGACGCAGCTCATGCCGAGTCATGGAGCAGGATTCCGCTGCCGATGTCTGGAGCCCAGAGCCTCAAGCTGAAGGACGACCTGGAGAGAGACCATTATAAGTAAGAGAGACTGTGACAACTGGAGCAGAAGTCTGCAGCTTTAGGTTGTCAGGAGTTGCGAGATTTGACAAGATTTAAAATCATCCATTAATATTATTAGAAATGATGAACAAAATAGACTTACAGGTAGTTCTCGCTTTCCAAGCTCTCAATTTACGAGTTTGTATCTTTATGAGAATTTTCTGCAGCAAAAATTTAAATTTCATTTTTTATTTTTAATTTGCACATAACTCGACATGCGCTTCCCAAAAACGCTGCCCGTGACAAAGTTAATAAAATATCTTACTCTATGCTGGATTTGTACCTTACATTGTACAGCATATTTTATGGTGGTGTCTGATTTGTACCGCTTCGTTTCTTTACCCAACCTGATTCCGTTAATACACCAGGTTCCTTTTATGTACTGTGAGCGATCTCCAGTCAGCTTAGAATGGGATACAGGAAGAAAAACTACCATCTCCTGAAAATCAAAGTGCCCAAAATTCACAGTGAATATTACCATTTTAGCAAAGTAGTGTTTTGTTTTTCTTCAAGGATTTTTTTTGTTTAAATGTGCGTATATTTTTGATTAAATGTTAATTCTAATAATGTTCGTTTCCATTTTTATAACATTTCTATGGGAAAATACATCCCGCTGTACAGGTTCTTAGCAAGCAATAATTTGAAACAAATTAGCTCGTAAATTCGAGAACTACCTATATAACAAATAATCTGAAAATGAGATTAAATGATACGAGAGTCTTTGTTTAGCTATTTTGTTTGCTTTCATGATCGATTGTGGTTTGCTCGTGGCTGTGTGGAGGGATTCACACAGGCCTATATAACAATGGAAATCAGGGGAATGGAGATACGGGTGAATAATTATGGGAAGGAATGGAATGTGTTCTTTTGGTGAGGACCTCTGGTTGCTACAGTATGTATTTTTCCGTCCCCCCGTCATAATTCTCCAGCATAAACTGAAAAGATTTTTCTTTTAATTAGATGCCCTAGCTATGTAGACCAAAGTGTGTCGCAAAAGTGACCTGAATACAAAGGCGTGTCACGTAGACCAGTGTTCAACTGGCAATTAAACTTATAATTAATCCAGCATTGTGGAACCTCTAGATCAGAACCAATAAGCACTGAGTCTCTCTGCATAGTGAAACACAATTTCTGGTTTCCAGTAGGGAGTGTACAGTATGATAATTGTTCAAATTATTCCTGGACTAAGACCGATGTTTAGAAGCGTGTATGTGAAGTGCTTTAAATTACTCATAATTATCACATTAGTGCCAGTTCTGAGAGACAGCAGGAATGCCACCATTGGGACAGGCACTTTGGTAAAGGCCCCACCCTCGCTCAGGCCCCCAGGGAAGCCAGGCCTGACGCCTCTTGCATCTCTTCTTATCTCCTAAGTGCTTCTTAAATGCCTGGTTTAAGAAGCACAGCAGCAAGACTTGATTTATAATTCCCCTACTGATCGTGGACGTCCTGTTTTACAGGTTGTCGTGCTTGGCCACATGTCTGGACCTGGTGAAGAGGTGTTCCTCGCTGTATAAATCTTTGCCATCTTTTACCCAGATCTTCTGGCCCATCAGAATTCTACTGTCCAAGCATATCTCTCTGGAAGGCCACTCGTCAGTCCTGCAGGTGACAGCTCCCGGTCATTCAGACATTTTAGTTTAAAGCAAGCCTGTCTGCTTTTTTTCATTCATGCTCTTAGGTAGTCTGGGGTGCTGAGAGATGTCTGAATATGAAATTTTGGTATAATTTGTGTATGTTATAGGCCTAGTGTTTGTTCCCTCAGTTTGGAGTAGTTTCTCAGGCAATTATTGGTTATGTGCAAGTCACATGTTTATTATGAAACACTACATTGCACCGGTGACATGCAGGGACGCTGTGAAGGGCGAGGGGACTTAGGACAATTCCTGGGGCCCCTGAGTGGCAGAGGCCCTAAAAAAAATTTGGAACGTAATTGGATTGGTGATATGCTGTCATGGGGCCCAGAGTCTCCCTGGTGACGCCATTCCAGGGTGTAGCTTGTCTTTACATCCTGCTTTCTGCTACGGCCACTAAATGGGTCAATGGATTGAAATGGAAGAAATGTTGGTGTATTTCTTCTTAAATACCATTCTTGCAGTCATGCTTTAAACTTCCTGACCCCTTCACGCCCTGCATGTCATGCATGCTTAGTCATTATTTCAGAGAAAAAGAGAGTAACAGGTTCTGCCTTGCAGGAAAACACCCTATTTTAATTAAGTAGGATAATCTCCTCCGTAAGTATCACGTCGCTCGGATCTTTTTTTTTTCTAGCTGAACAAAGTTGTTCTTTTTTTTTTGTGGAGATTGTTTTGCATATTTTACCTTCAATTTCTAAATTAAATCCACCATGCTGGCTGGTTTTATTTAAGAAATTATGAAAAAACTTTCTTTGTAATACCGAGGGCTTGTTTAATTACCGGGAATATCGGTAATTGCCTCTGTGAAATCTTGTTCTGAGTGTTCTTGTTCTAAGAAAATTATGTTAATACCTTAACCCAAACTGATTTCACCTGCTGTTAGTCTGCAGAACATCAATTGGCTCTCAGGCCAAGAAAAGTGCCCCAGCTTGGTCTTAAACTAATTACGGAGGAGATTAGACACAGAGATCAGATGCTTGTACCAAAAGTGAACTCATTGTATAGCTTCCCTTCAGAAACTGAATACAAAAGAAGATCGTTTACCCTATGACGGTAACTCCAGGTGAATTCACCTGCTATACTCTGGTATTAACATAGATATTATGCTGATTCTGGCTAAACAATGATTTTCACAGAGAATGTTGCCTTTCAATGTGAAACGTTGCCAGTGGTTTTTAGCTCAGCGGGTCGGGTTGCCAGTTCAAATCCCGGAGTTAGCAGAATGGCGTCAGTATGGGCAAGGCCCTTAACCCCAGCAGCTCCAGGGATAAAATCCAGGATTTTTATGTCTTGAAGGACCTGCATAGGGAAGCACTGGAAGCTGTATCCGAGTCCCCAGAAAGGCCGTCTCCCTTGGTATTTGAGAAGACAAAGCCCATTCCTCTAAGACTGTTCACTCCTAAAATAGTGGAAGTGTGAGTGTGTTTTTTGTTTTTCCCCTCTTGTATTTGGAATGTGAAATATTTGACAGTATGAATCTTACCGCCTGGTAGTTTGTCGGTTAAGGCGAGGCCCTCAGAACTGTCTCTCTGCATGATGCTGTTCCAGTTTGGACTTTGGAAAGAAGCGGGGCAGCTCCAAGCAGGAGAGGGAGAAAGAGAAGCTAAAACACAAGTATAGGAAGGAGCTGAAGGGAGCGCTGCGGGAAATCCGGAAGGACACCAAGTTCCTGGCCAGGGAGAAGCTGACGGAGATCATGACTCGGTACGGATGCTCTTGCATGCCCAGTCTTTATGGACACCATTTGTCATTCAGCTTATACATTTGCTTTGTATGTATGCAGTTAATGCAAATTAGGATAGTGGCCATGAATACCCCACAGGGTATAAGAGGTGACAGGAGATGCCAACTGTACCTCACAACCATGGCTGTCATCACAACTGGGTGCCGTCGGTCTGACCGGTTCAGCCCACTCGTAATTAGCGTAACTACCTTTAGTTGAATTAGGCGGTGAATGACAGCACATCATGATTCGACTTACTGTCAGTTTCGAAGCCTTTTACAATGTGGCCTGGTTGTGGTTCGATTTAATTATTCTGTTTAATAACTGGAACTGACAGTTTCATTCTCTGAATTGTACACAGAATCATTAACTGTGATGTAATAGCGGCTCCATTATTTTTTTTCATTTGTTTACGACAGGGATGCGGAGAGAAAGAGGAAAGTGAAGGAGCTCTTCGGCAGCCTGTCCACTCAGGAGGGGGAGTGGAAGGCTCTCAAGAAGAAGAAGAGGAAGTGATTGGCCATCGCCGTCGTCACATGACATCGCCAGATCTCCATGTGGACTGTATTAAATCCAACTCAATCACAGCAACCCTATTATTCCTTTTGGACTATAGTTTGTAGGTTTATCAGTTGTTTTTCTGTAATGTAACTAAATGTAACATAATTCTTTTTCAAATGGGAAGAAAAAGGGTTAATTTTTAAAAAAGTTAAACTACAGATAACCAATAAGTAGGCCTTCCTAAAGGGCATACCAACCCATCTCCGCCATTCCTGTAGGCTTGCAGTACGTTCAGAAGTACGACATTGGAAACATTGGCAATGGCTTCAAATTCTATGAAGTACCCCTGGGATATACATTTTGAGCAATTTGTATGGCTGTTTAATGGACAGCAGTCTTTGTAAATGTGATTTATAAACCCATTAGGATAATAGAAATATTTCCATTTTAATAAACAGATTGCTCTTTATTTGTTACGCTGTGAGGTTTAATGGATGGATCGGTTATGTACGCAGTGGTGGTGGAGGGGAGGCCGTGATGGCAGCATAATCCAGTCCCTTCATACGTAAAGTATTTAAACCCGAAATCCACTCGGTCTGTGAAGTTTGTAAATGACTAACAGATTTATCATGTATGTTTTTTTATTATTAAATCGTAATTGCTTAAACTACAAAAATAAAAATTGTGCATATTAGGAAGAATCAACAAATGCAAGTTTATGCACTAAAGTCAAGCTTTATTGGGGTTTTGTGGTACTCTTTGTACACTAAGCATTCATGTTACGTTAGGCTTGGGGAAGGGCGATGGGTTCCCTTGGCTTGGGTGGGACTTGGGTCGTACTTTTTAACCATAGCTCAGCATCACAAAGGGCATTCTTTTTGGGTTTAGGGGTGACAAGGGTGGTCCTAGTATGTTGTCTTCTGGGGGCCGGGTTGAATAGCATGGGGGAGACCTCAGCCGGTGATTTTGGAAGCAGTGTGACTCTCCACACTGCGAGACAATGAGGCGCTCCGCTCCTCGGTAATTCCTGTTAAATGGGGTGACAGTTAAAATGGAAAAAGAATAACACCAGTTTTTCAGCACACAAGAAGCTCTGCTTGATCAAAAAACTTAATGCGGCATGTGGTGTCATGAAGCTAAAAAAAACTGGTATTGCATCAAATTTAACTAAGGTATATTATCAAAAATCTCCTTGAAGAATTTATATATGGTTCCTACCACAGCAGACTTTGTTGTTACTTAGTGTTTTGTGTTATTTACCTGATAGGCTCTCTGCAGAAATGCCCAGTCTCTTCTCTTCACCTTCCAGCAGCTTCCTGTAGGTTGCAATCTCAGCATCTAGCTTCAGCTTAATATGAAGAAGTTCCTTGTAGTCCTGTAAGTATTTGCCCATTTCGATCTTGGTCTCACAGAGCTGGTTCTCAAGCTGAGCAATGATGCTCTCCATGCCAGACACTTTATCCATGTGGCCGACCTCCATGTCTTCCAACTGCTGCTCCAGTGCCGCGTTGTTGGCGCGCAGTCCATCGATCTGGTTCTGCAGGTCGACCACCTGATTGTGAAAGGTGGTGATCTCTTCCTTCATGGACTTCATCTGACCTTCATGCTTGCTTGCGTGGGCTTTCAGAGTGTCAAACTTACCCTTGTACCACTTCTCGGCCTCTTGCACGTTGCGAGCGGCCGCTTGCTCGATTTCAACCCGAATGTTGCGCAGGTAAGTCGCCAGGTCAGGCCGGTCAGAGTCTAGCTCAGTTGTCACCTTGGAGTCCTCGATCTGTTTCATGAGGTCGGCAACTTCCTCATCATGAAGCTTTTTAAGGAACTCCATCTCAGCCACCAGTTGTTCCACCCTCTTCTCCAGGTCTGCCTTTTGCAAGGTGGCGTTGTCGACATCTTCGCGGAATTCTCGCAGTATCCTCTCTGCCTCCTCTGAAATTGGTGAGATCGCTATGCTTCATTCTTGGTTATAGAGCAATGCCAGAGGAGGCCATACATTTAACAAAAATGCTCTCTAAGTCAAAGGTCCTGATATAGGCAAATTTGGTTATTCAATAACATTGATTTAGTTTTCATGTCCTTCAATAGGAAAAACACTGTAGTGTAACTTCTATTGACAGTAGATTTTGGGTCTTACCTTTGAGTGAAAGCTCCTCTTCGAGTTTGAACCTCCATATCTCTATTTCTTCCTCGATGTAGCCCCGTTCGATGTCAGCGGTTCCTTTCTCTTTAGTCAGAGACTCAATGAGCTCTCTCATTTCTTTAAACTTGATGTCATATTCTTCCCCGATGTTGCTGGGTCCTCCCTTGTAGCGGTTTTGCAAGGCAGCTAATTCGGCTTTAAGGGCTGCGTTCTTCTGTTCCAGTGCCTGAACTTTCTCGATGTAGCCGGCGAAGCGCACGTTCAGCTCCTGCATCTCCTCCTTTTCGTTGGCGTGGACCTTGTGTAACTCCGTCCCGACCTCTACAGCGGCGCCCTGGAGTCCGGAACGCCCTCGAGTGAACGAGGACCCCCGGCATCGGGTCGGCGATGGACTCTGCACCCGCATCCTGCTGCTCCCGCTGACCGTCAGTGTCTTCTGCGAGTAAGTTGTGCCTCTCATGTTTGAAGTCTTTGGCTTCTTAGCAGTAGCCTTGCTTAGCGTTTCACCAGACCACCCTTATTAACTGCCCTGAGCTTGTGGCAGGTTTTTATGGAGCTGCAAGGAATTTTACAGACACCCTTGAGAGTCTCACAGGTTTTTGACATATTTTAAATTTGGTAGTATGACACTGAAGCCAGACCTGCACAGCTTGCCATATTAGCTAGCATTTCATTGTCATGAATAGTGTGAAGTGTGGTAAGACTTCACGTAGCGGTGCTAAATACCATGGTAGCCATGTATGGCTCTCTCTGCCCTCAGCTTGCTCAGTGCAAAGGAGTGAGGGGCATTTTACACATCAATTACCAAAGCCTGTACTCCAGGCAGCAACAAACAGGCACAAAAAACGAGTTCTGTGACAGGACTTAATCCTACAAGAACTTTACTTGTTCAGCTGAAGATATGTACTCTTAAGCGTCAGTATGCATGGTTTGTGATGAAGAAAGAAATTATTTAAAATTTTATTTAGTTAGTTTATTTTATATTCATCTGTTGCTTGGCAACTTACAAAATATCCTGGTACCAGAGTTAGGGCTGAGGTAATATAAAATGACATCATGATATTTTTGCACATTTGTACGTTTTCCTTGTTTGTGGGTTTCCTTCCACAATCCACAGTCTGCTCAAGTAAACAACTGAGTTGTTAAACAGAACTGACACCCTATCCCAACAAAAACTCTGCTGTACCTATGATTTAGTATTTTTAAAGTATAATGTCAATATATAGCTTAAATGGGTAAAATGTTTAATTTTATCCATTTAAGCTATTTTTACCCTCAGAAAATATATAAGTCCAACATCAGCTGCTCCAGCCTCTTCTGCAGCTTTTCCTTTTTCTGGAGAGAGACTGAATTTTAATGACACTTTGGTGACACAGTGTCTTCGAATCACTAATTTTTTTCCCACTTATATCCTGCACTAGAAACTATACTAGAAAGGCCACATTTGTCTGAGCACATGTGTTATATTTTCTTTAGCTGTTAATTTTATATGTGTGTCTGTGTCTATGTGTGTGTGTGTGAGTGTGTATGAAGCTTACATACTAATCAAATACATTTATTATGTTTTATTTCTTTTCTCTGTGCAGCACTTCAGTCAACTTCAGTGCTTTACAAATGAAGTTTGCTTACTTCTAATATTGATGAATTAGCTAGAAGAATCTGACGGCGACCCTGATGATGTCATTGGTGCGGCACAGTTAGAATCTCCATGACGTGTTAATTGACAGTTGGGCCCCTGTTATGCCCGACAACATGGCTTCATTTTCTTCCACGGACATAATAGAAGCCTGCAAACACTATGCTGAAATTCCCATGAACTCAGCACTGGGTCATGACATTTTCCATTTCCCTTGCAGTAGACAGGGAATTAAATCTCTGCCATTTTAACAATGACAACTATATTTTTCAGCAGCACTGCAATTCGGTCCTTTTTATCAAGGGTCATCGATTGAGTATCATTCTAATAAGAGTGAGCTCTGTGTTGCTTGTAATCTTTTGTATTCAATGATATACATTTAATTTGGACTCATTTACTCACTAATATCTATTTAGAGCAAACCAACAAAAATCTCAATCAGCTAAGTCTCAGTTATGTGAGATGCAGATAAACCATTGTTTATCGATCTATGTTTACTTACATGCTTTGCTACTATACGACCAAAACTGGGTTTTCATTATCAGTTATCTACTCAAAGGCACTTAATCATGGAATTCATGTAAAAGAATGAGCACCCAGAATATTGAAGGAAAAATGGCAAACATAGAAGGTGGCTGCTGCAAACATGGGAAGGTGACTGCTGTAAACATGGGAAGGTGACTGCTGTAAACATGGGAAGGTGACTGCCGTAAACATGGAAGGTGACTGCTGCAAACATGGAAGGTGACTGCTGTAAACATGGGAAGGTGACTGCTGTAAACATGGGAAGGTGACTGCCGTAAACATGGAAGGTGACTGCTGCAAACATGGAAGGTGACTGCTGTAAACATGGGAAGGTGACTGCTGTAAACATGGGAAGGTGACTCCTGTAAACATGGGAAGGTGGCTGCTTGAAACATGGAAAGTGGCTGCTGCAAACATGGATGATGAGGCGGCCGTTAGGGGAAACCGTCAGAGCTGTCGTAAATCTGTGTGCGGAAGGCCTTGATCTGAGCTGTAACATAAAATCCTGGCTATCAAAGTGATACATGCATCCCTCCTTTCTGACCCATTCAGGATTGCCTCACATGTTCCAGCATAATGAAAAGGTCTGACTAACACTCCTTACTATATTAGTCAGGCTTCTCTATTGTTATCATCACACAATAAATAGACACACCTTAGGATCCCGAACTTTCTCTTAAGGCTTACTAAATCGCATTCTAACTATATCCCCCTAAGACCTACCCCTTGACAGACCAGCAGTCTGTTCCTCCGGTACCACAGATTGGGCCCCTCTCCAATTATTTATTTATTTGTATTTTCTCATTTAGCAAATGCTTTTATCCAAAGCAAAATATAACTGAGAAAGCAGGGTTGCTAAAGCAACTGGGGTTAAAGACCTGTAGTTAAATATCCTTGTCTACCACAAGATTTGAACTAGTAACCTTCCAGTCAGCAGTACTGTACCTTTATCCATATACCACCCTACCTCACTAACTACACCACTTACCTTGTCTAAGAGCCCTTTCCCAGAACAGACAATGCATATTAAATATATATCAAAACTGGCCTGAGCTTATTGCTTGGTATATAACGCAAGACTGGAATTCCACCTAAAAGTATATATTCTAGTTGTGATGTAATAATTAAGTGAACCACTAGAGGCCGTCCTAACTCCCTTTATTCCATTCAACATT